TGATTTTGTCAACTTCTTCTTGGTGATCTTTTGCTTGATTTTCTGGTGTTTTGCTGGACATGATTAATACAGAGCGATATGAAGGGGCAACTGGTGCTGGAGATGGAGGAGAAGAAATTTCAGTTTTGTCCGGAGATGTTTTCATATTCACAACTTTCATAAGTAAACCCTTCATGTCCTCCATAGATTGGGTCAGATTATCTACTCGCCTGTCAATCAGGTCGACTTTACTTTCGGCACTGACTGCGGAGTTCTGTTCAGAGTGTGTCTTGCAGACATTACACACAAACGTAAAAGTCCCAAATCTGGAACTGTTAACACCCTTGGTTGCGTTTCTGTCGGAGTATGCTTTGAAGAAAGTGCGAGGACAGATTACAGCATTATTGATCCTATCTTTATCAGCATCTCGACAAACAGCATGAAATGACGATTTACACAAAAAGCAGGTAAGAGCAGTGTCATTAGCTTGAACATCATTACAGGTGTTACAAGTGCCGTCTTTGATGTAGGCAAACTGGTATTGAAGAATGTTACCTTGTCGCTGTTGAGTACTTTCAGAGGATGTGGATGAGTTCAGGGTAGGTGTGAAACGTTGCGGGGATAACATATCTTCGCTAACATTCCTGTCATTCTTTGGCGTATCATCCTGTAACGAGATTGAGGACCTGTTACCCTCATCATCAAAACCACCTTCTCCGATCATTGCGCACTTCTTTTACAAAGTGAAACAGTGCAGATCAGCAGAGTCAGTAGAGAATCAAAATTGAGTTCGGGGTCCTCAAATTATTTGTTATATAGTAGTGTTGAAAATATTACAGAATAAAAAGATGTAAAACAATTAATAGTTGCTCCGAAAATCTGGAACCAACTACCAATTGAAATTAAGACTTGTTCTGATGTTGATCTGTTCAAAACATTATTAAAAACTCACCTGTTTAAGAAAAGTTATGGCTTGAGCGATTAATTGACAATATAACTTTATGTTATTTGCTTAAACTGTTTAGGATGCAACCTAATGTCATGATCTTTTTGAACTTATTAGCAATTAGACTGTTAGCTCGCTTCATAAGCATATCATCTTCTTTCCAAAACTTTTTATGTCCTATGCATACACTCCTGGATAGTTATCTTGATCTAGTATCTTTGTTTCACACAATAGAGCATAAGTTTTGTGGTTTATCCACTGGGCTTAGAGTTTGTGTTTAAGCTACCAAATTTTATTATTATTTATTTTATAAAAATATAATGCCCATTTGATGTATGACTTTTTGTCCTTGACTACTAGTTTTATTTTGAAAGAACAGGTAACTAACGGGGCAAGGATAGTGAGTGCCAGTAAGCTTTAGCACACACCGAAACGCTAGTCAGTTGAGTTTTTAGAGACAAGGCTCATATTAGGACCAGAAGAAAATTGTTTGCAGACATTAGGGGTTCTGTTTATAGTTGTTACTATGGGTTGCAGTCTTGCTGTGACAAAAAGTCTACACTATAATATGGGTAAGTTTATATTGTGTAGTTAGAGGATATAAAGTGCAGCTTCAAGGTGGATATGGGAGAGCTGGCGAAAGATTATGGCTTTTGTATCAATGGTTAAAATATTCAAATATTCGTATTCAATATTGCCATTTCATAGAAGTGGTTTTTATAAATAACGTTTTCAGATTTCAGTGTAGCTCCGGGAAGCACTAGCGAGCCCACGCGAGACTTTGCTTCAAAATCCTACAAATACTCTAAGACAAAACATTGTCCAGTTACAGAAGCTCAAGTATCATCTTGTCTGTAATGGAGTGAGCTAAGGATTTAATTGCGTCATTGCAACATTACACATCTGTGTAGAATCTTGGGATGACCGTGATAGAGGGTTAATTAGATATACACAATGTTAAGAGAAAAATGAGTGATGAAACTACATAGAAGTATAATGTGAGCCATAGTACTGAACTGTATGATACTAATTCAAACTAATCTGATAACATCGTGTAGTGTTGTTAAGCCTCATGAAATCAACGAAACAATGGTAACAAGAGTCAGAGTGCAAGTGATAATATTCTATTATATGATAATATTCTATATGAGAGTACATTTCGTATTGACATTTCTACGCGTACGTCATACTCATTTTGTAATCATATCGATTGAATTATTTCTGAACTATTAGATATATCAAACTACGCTGTATCGAGGCACACAGCGTGATGCTGCTCATACATGGCCTACACTGTTGATTTGTACTTAAACACCATTTCTTTCTCTGATGCTAGTACAGGTATTGATGAGCACAAGCAACTATGTGGCCCAGGATCATTATATGTAATGACTCGTCGTAGCCAAGCACTGTTCCACCATCGTATCGATGCAGGCGAGATAACTGGGCTGCGCTACAGTATAACATTGAGATCAGTCAGTTCCCTGAATAGAAACGCTACATGTATCATTGGGGACTCGAACACCGGCGGACTGAAATTCGGTTCTGATCCTGCCAAGTCATTCGGCAAATGGCTTCCTGGAAAACGATTCTTTGCCCCAACTGTCGATAGCATTGATCCTTATGTGTCCTGTGGCTATAGAAACTGTGTTATATTGTGTGGGGTTAATGACCTGAAACAAACAGATGTAAAAAGCCAAAACGATATTGATATAATCTACAACCATCTAGTTTCAAAAATTGCCCAGATTCAATCTATTAATCCGGGTGTGCATGTATATGTTTGTCCAACAATTCCTTCTAAACGTGCTGATTTAAATAGAAAGCTTATATACTTTAACAGTTTGATTCGATGTAGGCTGCTCCCGTCCAATTTTGGTGTCAGTTATGTGGATGGATTTGATGAGTTCTGTGATAGGGATGGTCTCCTTAACCGCTCTCTCTCTCGCGACCTCAACAAATACCAAAAACCGGACTTCCTTCACCTCAACTGGAGGGGACTAGCAAAGTTAGGTCAATTTATTCGTAACACTGTTCTTCTCAGGATTAACGGTGGTATCGACAAAAGGAAGAGGAGGTCCACAAGGGTAGACGATAGATCCTACAGGGATGCGACTGCTGGAAGAGAAACTGGTCCTGTTGTTCCTGCTGCTGCTAGTCAGGGTCACGTGGATGGTTACCAACCATGACTCCCCTCATTAAGGAGGTATGTCCTGTCTGTTCTAAGAACATAGTCATCGGCCAAACAATAGTTGAATGTTTTCACTGTGACTGCATAATGCACCATAAATGCTATCGCAAATCAAATCCAAATAGCCAATCTAATGAGTTTTACTGTACTCGTTGTATCCATTTAGACAAGGTTAAATACAACCCATTTAAACTACTCACTGACAATGACGACGACGACAACAACCTAGACGAATACACAACCAAAATCTCAAATACTTTAAATGATTGTAACTCATACACTGCATCTGACCTTACAAATATTCTCTGCAACCAAGTAAAGAAACAATCATCTATTCTCTTTCAAAATATTGATGGAAATAAATCAAATTTTGACAACCTTGCCATTGAAACCTGTAGGTACAAAACAAAATTCTCCGTAATAGCCCTAGCTGAAACCAACACTGGAAAAGAATTAAGCAATCTATTTCAGCTTGACGGTTATAATAGTTACTATCAGGACACAGCACCTAACAAACAAAAGGGCACTGGAGTAGCCCTTTATGTTGACGATAAATTAAATGCTACTGTAATTGAGAATATATCACAAGTCACAGAACATCTAGAAATACTTGTCTTATCATTAAGTAACGAAGATCAACCTGTTAATGTAGGTGTTTTGTATCGTCCACCAAGTGGCTGTATTTCCCAAGCTCTAGTTGAACTTTCTAACCTTCTTGATCACATGCCGAAGTTTAGTTATCTAGCTGGAGACTTTAATATCGATCTTCATGATAAAGATAACAAAAATGTTCAAAAATATGAAGAAATATTATTCAGTAAAGGATTTTGTCCGTTAATATCTATTGTTACCCACGAAAAACCAGGCTGTAAAGCATCCTGCATAGATAACATTATTACTAACGATATTGAGAATGTGATTACTTCAGGCACCCTAAAAGAACGAATAACTCATCACTCACCTATTTTTAACACATTTAACTGGAATGTTGAAGTCAACTCTGAAAAAACTTCTTTTAAACAATATTACGACTTCTGTCAATCAAATGTTAACGGCTTCCTAGTGGATCTTGAAGATGAGCTTAAAACTAAAACAATCCATAACTTTACTGAATTCCATGACACTTACAAAAACTGCGTCGAAAAATCGTTTAAATTAGAGACCCCGAAAACCTCTAAGAGAACTGTTCAGGTTAACCCTTGGATAACTCCCGGTCTCATTTGCTCAATTAATAATCAGCATAAACTGTACGAAAATTGGGTTGAGATAAGAAATAGAAAATGTAAACTCGGGGAAACTGATAACAAGGGCGGCATTTGCCAGTGCCCTGAATGCTCACTAAAACGTAGTCGCTACCTTATCTACAAAGAATACAGAAAAGTCCTAAAGAAAACACGTCAAACTGTGAAAACAGAATACTTCTCTGGTAAATTTGCTGAAAATAGCGGTGATAGTAAAAAGACCTGGGAACTAATAAATCGTATAAGAGGTAAACGGCGGCGTGAAATAAAGCCGCTGTTCACCATAGACAACGTTAAGATAACAAATAGAAGGATCATAGCAAACGAATTCAATAAATATTTTGTATCATTAGCCTCTGACCTAAATACCGCTTACAATGATCTTGGACAAATTAACATAAACAGTATACCTAGTTTCTATGATTATCTACCGCTTTCAAACACTTCCAGCATTTACATGCATGACTGCACAACAGACGAGGTTAGCAAAATCATATCTGAACTTAAAAATGGCAAGGCAAGTGACATACCGATTCATGTAATTAAGCAGTCCTCTAAAATAGTTACTCCTTTACTCACTGTACTGTATAACGAATGTATGAAAGATGGCATATTTCCAGATGACCTTAAAGTTGGAAGGATTAGTCCCATTTACAAGAAAGATAACCAGGAACTCCTTGAAAACTATAGACCTGTATCAACGCTAGCTGTGTTTGGTAAAATATTTGAAAAGATTATATTCAATAGATTATACAGCTTCTTTCATTCACAGAACTCCTTATATGAAAACCAGTACGGATTCCGTAAAAATCACTCGACCAGTTATGCCCTAAATTACTCAGTGAACCACGTAGAATCTTGCCTCAAGAAAAAACAACACGTTCTTGGAATATTTATTGATCTTAGTAAAGCCTTTGATACAATATCACATGAAAAGTTACTGCATAAGTTAGAAAATTATGGAATCCGTGGAAATGCAAATAACCTTATAGCAAGTTACCTGTCGAACAGATACCAGTATGTCTCGGTATTAGGTGAAGAATCCGAGAAACTTCCAGTAGTCTATGGAGTGCCGCAGGGGAGCTGTCTTGGTCCCTTACTTTTTATTATTTATATTAATGACATCCGTAACTCATCAATTATAGGAAAGTTTATACTATTTGCCGACGACACTAACATATTTATAGAAGACACATGTGTCAAAAGACTATACGAAAAAGGAAATGAAGTTCTATCATTTGTGTACAAGTATATGAAACTAAACTTATTACATATTAACATTAAGAAATGTTGTTTTATTCATTTTAAACCCTCACGGGCCAAAGAGGAAGTAGAAAATGACGAGAACATACTAACTTTAAATAATGTAGTTATTAAAAGAGTTCAAGAAGCTAAATTTCTAGGCGTTATTATTGACGACCAACTTAACTGGAAATCACATAC